GCTTCTACAAAGTGTTTGGTCTCCTGGAGTGAGCTAATTTCTGTGTGAGTGACCACAAAATATAGCCTTTAGGTTATATACTGATAGGTACTCAGAAATATGATAGATGGAGAAACAAGATTAGCTCCACTTTATGTACAAGTACATTACATTTTTTATCACATACTTCAATGGTGAAGCAGCAGCAGAATTTAAAATTTGCAAGCTCTGGCTTTGTTCTGAGAGCTCCTGCATAACTAGTTGCATTTAACAGCTCCAGGCAGGTGCTTCTTTCTGTAAATTGTCCTAAGAATGTGCTGTGAATCTGCACCAAGGAACTCTTCCTAAACATCCGGTATCATCTAAATTGGAGAATTCAGTATCCCTTCCTTTCCCTTGCTGTTTTTTTCCCATTGTTCCTTGCAGCAGTTACTGTGCTGGGGTTAGAGATCACTGTGCCCAGGGTTGTTGAATAAGGTCCTAGTTGTTCATCTGCTTTTTGTCTGGAAGAGGGAAGAACCTTCCTCAGATTCAGTCTGTTTCAGCCATCACCTTTCCTGCCTGTCTTACACTATTTTTACTGCATATTAGATAAAGCCTAGCTGGCTGTTGCTAGGAAAATTAGATCTTCTATTGTTTTAACATTAATTATAGAGAGTTCAAGATAAGGTTTGTGTTAGAAAAGTAGGGGGTAGGAATGGTTTTCATTTTACTTTCATTATAATTACACAGGAAATTATGAAAAGGTGAAAAATAATTCATGGAAGTGATTTCTTCTAGGAAGCTAACAGGAAAGTGCATCTTGGCACAGATGGAGATCGTGGTGTATTACTGAAGCACCAGTCTTCTCACTGTGTGCCTGGGCACACTGAGCCTGTTTCTATTGCACTTTCCATGTGGGCAGAAATGGGCAGGATGAGGCCCTCTGCTCCCTTCAGCTCAACTGGGGGACCTTACTCATACCAAAAAAATGAGGCTAAATTAGTTCATGCTGTTAACTCCATGAATGCAATTTGAATTACTGCAGACATTATTTTGAACCATCAGTCAATTTCTGCATAATGCAAAGGACATGAAAATATGACTAATCCAGGAATTAATTAATTGGGCAGCTGTCTCCCTTTCATTTTTACACTACTGAGATAAACATTTGGACTAAGAAGTTCTCCTCGTCATTATAACTTCCTCATTGATGCTGCTTTGTGGGTGATGTTTATGACCACCATGTAACTACAATGATTTCAGAATTTTTCTTCATGTGAAATTACTATGGTTCAGGCTTTTAAAGGCACATCTACAGCAAAGAAAAAGGAGGACATGGACCTTGCTTGGAGATTCTAAGCAGCTGTAAAGATTAGACTGTGCCAAAGCTCCTCAGGTTAGACTTCCTTCTGTAATACAGCCACCTCAAGGTGTTCCCTCCATCACTGATGATGGTCTAGCTCTTTATTTTCATCTAACTATGGCTCAAAGGTCACTGGTGAGCAAGTGAAACCTTCTGTAAGAGGCCAGCAAAACTTCAGCAGTGCTTATACTTCCTGACAGGGTGGATGTGCAGAGGTCTTTGCCATGGTACAACTGCTCTAATCTTTTTCTTCAAGGCTTTTTTCCCCACCTGAGGCCCCAGGTTCAGCATACATATAGAAAGGTTCATCCCACCATGCCTACAGCCCCTCTATCTCTCAGTATATTGCCCATCTCCAGAGTACCTGAATAATTTCTGCATAAATTCTATCAAGTTTCCACGACTTCTTTCTTTTTGGCTTCATGACCCTATTTAGCTGTGGTTTGAAGGAAAAGCTGGGAGAAAAGTCTTTCAAGTGAATCTGTGGCAGAAGACCACTAAAGTTAATGAGACTCCAGTGGAGATAAGGATTTTGTCCATTCAGAGTCAACAGTATCTTTAGAAACTACATAAGGCAGCTGAGGCTGGAAAAAGGATGTATTACTCTGCCTTGTTTGCAAATAAGGAAGCAAAATTCCAAGGGAAATGAGTGATTTGCCCACAGTTGCACAGGAAATCAGCAAGAGATATGGAAATTAATGCTGAGAAGCATTTCAGAGCCTTAATCATAGACCAATCTTTTCCCTCAAATGCCAGCAGTATTCAGTGTTCCTTTTCAATAACAGAATAAGCAGTTTCACTGACTCACAGACATGTTTCCATCAACCATGCTTGGTCGCTATTAGGAACTATGCCCAACTGTAAAGATCAGCTGTAGTTCAACTGAGAAAGTTTACCTGTGAGATTCCTTCAAGGATCAAGTCACACTAAGGTCAGGAAATGCAAGGTCAAAAAGAAATAGGTGGGTTTTATGATACTTAGTACTAATTAGGTAGGCTTTGAGAAATGTGGATTGAAGTATTCTCTTGCAGGGAAGCTATTAAGCTGTTAGACAGAGGGGATATATGGCTTAGAGTAGGAAAGATTCACATCTCTTGCCTACAAATAAATCACTTGTCCATCATTATCTATTTTACCATCTCTGAGTTATATCAAGTAGCTGCCCAGATAAGCACGTTTTGTATAAATACATAATATTCTGGGGACAAAGTTAGTTTTTACTTAAACTAGCTTCAATTCATTGTGTCTTAATTGAAAATAAGTGTGTTGCAGCAGTGATCAAAGAATTGTCTCTTTAATTGTCTATTAAATCATTATCATTAGCTATTAAACAGAAATAAAAGGTTAAGAATACAACACTCTCTGTTCTGCCCAAAAGAATATTAATATCTCTCCAATTACAAAGAAACAATAAAGGGAGAATTAACAGTGAAAAGAAGCTGAAGATTAGGCAATTACATCCAAAATGCCTGACAGCTCTTTTTAGAGGGTTTAGCAGTGCAACCTATATAAAGAAAGCAACACAAATTTGGAAGCAAAGTCAATATTGACTTTACCAAAGGGGCTTGTAAAGAGAATATTATTTTTTCTTAAAAAATATAGGAATATAAACCCTGTACTAAAATTTAATGCAGCTAACTAATCATTATGGAATCAATATTGCAACTAATACATATATTTCCCGTTTTAAAAATTATGTTTGAAGAGGATTCAGTCTGAGAGCACCTTTAAGTAATTTGTGACTGAAATGCATTATCAGGATGCTGCAATTTTCACAAAAATAACATTACTCCCATTTTATATCACCAAGATAAAGCAAGATAAACTCAGTGAAGACCACATGCAAACCTCTTACTTTCGTTCATTATGTCAATATATTAGAATTGATACCAGGTCTGGGAAGGTGTCCCAGAAGGATTCTCTTCTGTCAGTGATTTGATACCCAAATAATTTCACAGAGGTTGATGTGTACACAACCTACCAAAATAAAAAGGGGGATCATAGTGAAAATCTAGTAAAACCTGTGCAGAATTTTGGCATGTGTTTTGGTCTGCTCTAGCCAGATCACTGGAAGGAATGAGAGGACATTCATCAACTTGAAGGTGCTTTGGAGGTCTAATTCCACCTAGGTATACAACCCATTTTGAAAAAGCAAGAAAAGGAAGATAGACAAAGGGCAAGAGTTTTCCTTTCTTCAAGTGGATAATCCAAAATTGCAACTGGAAATCTTGTCTCTGCTCACAGAGGTCATGTCAAGCCTTATTTAGTTGCCAGCTTCAGTAGACATTTTAAATCTGGGAATCAGAACAACTAACTTCATGCTCAGCTTTGATAGGATATCTGTATGGACAACTGCTGATTGAACTAAATGGACTTTAAACAGGCACTGTTGTGAGATGTGACAACTCCCCGACATCTGCAGATCACAATTTTATTAGAGGGTTTCAAATGCAATCTCAAGAAAACTTCAAGGGGTGCTCAGGTCTGGCATACATTCACACATGGCACAATGGATAGCTAGAATTTGGGAAGGAACTTGTTTCTTGAAAGCTACAGAGAGTTTATAGTAAGATCTACAGGTTAAAGGATTACTACATGTAAAAAGCATGACTATACTACCTTATTTGTTAGAATCTATATATAATATACTGCACTTCCATGGAATTCCTGTCTTTCTATAATTGCCCTAAAAAACTCAAATAATACCAAAACCCCTGTAACTCCTGTACAGAATTCATTGTAGCAATGAACCAAAGCACAAAATAAAGCAAATATCATATTAAAAGTATTCAAAAGTACCTCTTTTATGCCTAAAAATAACAGCAAGCTAAAAGCTGAAAGTCAAGCAATGGTGTCAGAAGTCATGCAATCAGTGTCTTGACAAAGTCACATTAACACTATTTTCATCTCAATGTCAGGGAGTGAGAACAAGGTGAACATATTATTTAAAGAGAAAACCAAAACACAACAAGGTTTAAAAGCTCCCAACTCTTGGCTTAAGAATTTTTGCAGAATGGTTGTTGTTTTCTGTTCTCTCCAGATTTTGTTACAGTTTGCTATCTTTGCTTGTAAGAAACTCCTGGGAAGCAGGTGGTGCAGTCAGAAGCAAGCAGGAAGCCCTGCTGTGCACTGTCACACTATACCGTGTCATTATGATGGAGTAATGGATGCAGGAAAGCCACACAAAAACAAATAGCTCTGTGTGGGGACATTTCCCAAGTGGGATGTATCAGACAACACATCCTTTCTCATCAGCACTGACTGGTCAGCAAAGACAGCTGAGGACTGCTCTCAGCATCCCTGCCCTCCCTCCCATTTGGAAAACACCAGCACAAATAGAAACATTCTAACTCTGCATAACCTCTGAAGACCACTCTCCTCATAGCACAGCTGGAAACAACCTGCCACTACAGAAACAGCCAGGACTTTAAAACACCTTGTTGATGTAAACTCCTGAATGTGGGATAGGTCCTAATATGGTGGCGGTGGAGAAGGGTGAAAACTAAGACCACTCTCCTCATAGCACAGCTGGAAACAACCTGCCACTACAGAAACAGCCAGGACTTTAAAACACCTTGTTGATGTAAACTCCTGAATGTGGGATAGGTCCTAATATGGTGGCGGTGGAGGAGAGAAGGGGGAAAACTCCATTCTCCACCTCAGGTGGGTGCCTTACCTTTATGACATCTTCATCAGCCGATTTGCACTCGGTGGATTCCGAAACATCGACCACAGACCCATCCTCCTGCACAGCAACCACCTTGACTGGAACAGACACCGTTTTGCCCGTCAGAATGGCCGTGTTAAGGACCTCAGTGTCCTGTATGCACACACACACAGAAGGGAGGGGCATTAGAGGGGCATAAAACCATGAAATGCCACAGGGGTCAGAGGGAGGAACCAAAACCCTGCCTCTGACAGGGACAGGGCTGTAGAGAGACCCTTCCTTGCATTCATCTTTCAAGCTCCCTATAATCAATGGTTTAACTACTGGTTTAACATTTTTCTAAGCTCAAAGTTGCATCTGGACCACATGGATTTACTTTTTGAGCCCATGTACAGGCCTGGCTGCCGTGGCAGTGCAACCTGTAACGCTGCTACGTGCCACGGTCTGCAGCTTGGCAGCACCACAGCTGAGTTGGACACGATCTCCAGAAGGTGCCAGCGAATCTTCCCACCCCTTTGCCCCAGATCATGCCAGTGGCTTGGGTGGTGATTATCAAACATGACAATAACAGCATTTCTTCCTTACTGCTCCAGCTAACGGTGTTGCCATTTGACCATTTTCCCTTTTCAGGATGTAAATACAGGATAACAAAAACTAACCATGAGGCAGGGGATTACAAACTAAGCAATACCATCCATATACTTTTTATTTTTAATCTTTCCCCACCAAAATCCCACCTAGAGACGTTTTACCATATTTCTCTCTAATCCTGATGAATTCACAGTGCTGGCACTCTAATGACTCCATTAACACATCCTTCTTCTGTGTCTCAGTATGGCTGCAGTTTGATTAATTACTCCAAATGAGTTGCTACAGAGGTCCCCGTCTTGCATAAGCAGGTATGCAGACTGGAAGGGAACAGTCTCTGAAGACCCCCAGAGCAGCTTGTCTCTGCTCCAGCAGTGCTCCCTGCAGGCCCAAAACTTGACACACAACACAAGGAACCATGTGTGCTTTCAGAGAGGTTCAGTTCAGCCTTCTCAAAAAGCCTGCAATAGGAAATACTGCTTTGAATCAATTTGCTTTTAATTTTTCAACTTCCATAAAACTAATTGCTTGCCAGTGCGGGGGTGGGGTGTGGAAAGTTGCTTCCAACTAATCTAAGTTTAAATTCCATTATTAGAATTGGTGGAAGAAGAAATGGATTTTAGTGAAAAATCTGATGGCAGCTTGCATAGGGAGGTATATTCACTATCATTTGGTTCTGTCTGCTAGCTAGATTGATAGAAAATAATGGGCATTGACCACAAGCAAAGGACAGCTGGAGAAGACCAATAAATACTTGCACCTAAGATGTATTTTTAATCAATATTTGGAAACTTCTACAAAAAGCGCCCTGAATTAAATGAGTTGAAGTACTAATAACACTAGTGCCAGCTAACTGATACAATCTACTAGAGCTTTATAGGCAGTCATGTTCCACAAAAGCATTTAAGCATGTACTTGAGTCCATTTCTGTTCAGAACAGCACTAAAAGTACATGCTCAACTTGACACTTAGACTTCAATGTGATTTAAGCAGGTGTTTAAGTGTTGTCCTGAACAGAGACGCTTCTCTGAATAATACCTCATGAAATAAATATACTGTCTTTGTTCTGTTCTCTGTGAGGCACAAACCAGATGTTTTACACAGTAAATGACTGTCTAGTTTCTGTTTCTGCTGAATAGGCTCATTTATACCCAGCTGCCATCCATGAGGGAGGGACAATGTGAAGGAAAGAAGTATGTGACAAAAGTGTAAGTGTGAAAGAACAATTGTAAAACCTTTACAAAGACTGAGGTGTGAACAAAATGAGGAAGAAAATGCACTGCCAGGTGAAAGAAAACCATTAGATGCCCCTCCGGTGGAAAGAGGCTGTATAAGGCAGACAAAGAAACTGAGAGTGCTTCATCCACAAGTATGTCAGAGAAGAGGTAGTTAAGATTTCACCAAACCACCAGTAAATATTCCATAAATCCCAGGCCATCAATCCAGTATAAAGATATGCCAGATACATGATGAAGACACGGTGGTCCCATGTCAAAATGCTCCCAAGCAGCAGTTTGCCAGTGGCTATTTCAACATCAGACACTCTTCTTCAGTGCATCATGGGAAACAGTATCTTTGCCAAGGTCCTAAAAAACAAACATACATCTAATTCTACTTCCAAATCCACTCTCTCCTTGCACTTGTATTCAATTATAATCTCAACCAAAACTCTACTAAGTCATAGATGAAAGGTTTATTTATACTTCCGTGGACTTGGAATCAGCTTCTCAACAGACCTCTACTAATTTCTCCTTTGGAGAAATTTCTCCTTTTGCCCTGTTCATTGTATCATCCTCATGTTGACCCCTCATGTGTGACAAAGGGTAAACAAAACCTCCAGCCTCCTTTTAACTCTAAGTGCTGCTTAGTCTGTCAGACTTTGATGCTCTGAATGATAATGCAAAGTTTACAAAGACATTTGCATTCCTTTCATAAAGTCCCAGTGAAGATGAACAGGAGAGAAAAGTTCCTAGAAGAAACACTTTGGGACCCCAGTATTTGTGGGTACTCTGAAATAGCTCCTCCTACTCTTGACACAAGCACTGTCCTGAACTTTCCCTCCTTCCCAGCATGTACAGGTACTCACTGCGTTAATTAGCTGGTGCTGCTTCACAAAAACTACACTTCACTGGTAAGCAATTCTACTGTAAAAATCAATATTTCAAATGCCTGATGCCTGGGTCGAGTGTTACATGAGTATAATAGGCTGTGTAAATATCTTCTTAAGAGCTAGCTATTTATAGACTGAAAAAATATATTACCTCTGAGGATGAAATATGAAGGCAGAACTGAACTAACTGTCTGTCCTCTAGATGAAACAGACTATTTTTTTTTTTAAATGCATCTTCAGCACGTAATAGCATTTCATCTAGATCCTGTTAGGCTTGTTTTATATTTCCATGGCAGGGTTTACTACAAAAAAAAAAGTGTTGCTGACTTTAAGATATCTGTGCTGGTTATTACTAACAGCATCTGAAATGTAGAGAGGGGTAATAATGTTGATTTACACAGGCAGGTCCTTCCATGTGGCACAGCATCAGTGAAACATCCGGATCACCAACACAGACCTCTAACTGCTGAGACTGAAAGGTCCCAGGTGAAAAACTGGGAATCCCATCCTGTTTCTTTTGTCAAGGGTTTCTTTCAGTTGTAAGATCTTGACCAAAACCTTCAGTTCAAGCAGCCCAGGTGGAAGCGATACATTCATATTGCAGGCTCTATCCCTGAGTAATAATTATGTGTGTGTTTATCTCCAGCTTTTTCTCTGTACCTGAATGCATTAGCACTTCAGCAGAGCTCTTCTTAATTACAACTGTAACCTGCTAATAGCATTTCTTTGTTGTCTGAAGGAATCTACTTCTTATCCAGCCTAGGCTAAATTAAAATTTAATACAACATCAGGTCGCAACAGTACTAGGAAGCCAATGACAGCTGTTTAATTAAAATCTAAAGCTGATTAGATGGGACTACTGAGAGAAATACTCAAGAGGAAGAGCAGAAAACTACTGAAACTCAAGGCCGGGATAATGGCTTTATTTAAATATGAATAAAACCTGTGCTCAGCCATAGTAAATGTTTGAAAACTCATTGCTTTGGACAAATGGGTGGCAATATGAATGGAAGACATGTCAAAAGTGATGATAGAGCTGTGATCACCACCACTGCTGTTCCCTGTGTGTGTGACCTGAAGCAGGGATTACTGAGGAACAACTGCAACACAAACCAGCTGAGGAACTCCAGGCACAAAGTTCCCAATAATTAGCCTTTAACCACCACACAAACCTAAGCCACTTAGGCTTGTGACTCTATGCACCTTACCCAGCTACTGTGAGACGACAGTTTTCCCTGCCTCTTCTGGTTAAAGACATAGAGAAACAGATTATGCATCTCAGGAGAAACCATCTCAGGATCCAGGAGCTGGACACAGGTTATCTAGACCCAGCCCAAAGCCACCAGTGCACCTTTGCTATCCCTTTGGGAGCAGCCAGCATCCTTTCCATGAAGCCTGGCAGGGCACAAAGCCCCACACCAGCCCAGATCATCCTTGTGATTAATGCACAAGTTGGATGCATTTTTTTAGAGGTTAACAAAACATGCTACAGTACAGTAAAACCAATAAACACTCAATTGTAAATCAGGAGAGAAACCTAAAGCCAACCCTATTCCACTGACAAATGCTACAGCTAAATGTCTTTTGGCATTTAGTTGAAATTACTGTCTTCAGTAAAGAAGGCAGAGAGCTGAAACATTTGTCTGCAGAATTGCATTCCTTTGTTATTATTTTTTTTCCCAGAGTGTACCTTGCAAAAACACATTTGTAATATTAGAAAGAGTCTTCAGGAACCAGTTTTCCTGCCTGGAAATGACATCTCTTAGAAAATGTAAATTATAGGGCAGACTGTGACGTGTGGGCTGGGCTAAGGGAGAGTTTTTTTATTTGATAAATTATTCACCACCCTTTTCTTCAGATCAAAGAGCAAGGCAATATAATTCCATTAAGCAAGCTTAATATATAAATTAGATGCTTTGCTGAAAATATTATAATCCAAAGCAATTCTGTACTTTTTCCCCCTCATAGCTGAATAGCATTTTAGGTTTCCAATACATATTAATGAAACGTGCTTGCCAAAAAGTTATTTATATTTCCCACCATTAGATCAGGTAACATACACCATTTTGTCACCCAGTGGGGAGAATGAACAACTGGGATTGCAAATCTATGAAACATTAGAAAACACAAACAATCTTTCAAAGAGTTCACCTGGCTCTTTCACCCTTTGTCCTCCCTACATTCATATAGTCAGTCCACTTCATGCCCAGGAACAGCCCCCAGCACAGCTGGCAGGAGTGCTGCTGGCTGCTCTGGCAGGCGCCTGCTCACTCCTTACTCAGGGGCTGACCTGGCAGCCCTGCCCGCCCAGGAGTTGCCTGCAGGCTGCAGAGGCTGCCTGTGTGAAGGGAGTTATAAGACCCAGTAAAGGACCAAACAATGGCTCATTCCTTATTCTGCAAACATCCTTTCTGTAGAGCCCCTTGTGGAATCAACTAGTGAGCAAGTTTTCAGG